AAATTATGATTTCATGAAGTAATTGCTGGTCATGGTTTTTCTTTCGTCTTGGTGTAAGAGTGGATTATATTATATAAAGATTATAATATGTTGTTTCTTATATTTCTTACCGTAGAGTTCGATACCTTCACACTGGTTACTTACAGGAGATTATGGTGTATCTACGTAGAAATTCACTCCACCACCCGACATTCCATGATTTATACTTGATAAATGATGATTTAATGAGTTCCATTAATTTCCAACATCCATCTACAGTAAGTTATTGGTTATACTTTGTCATAACCAATCAGTCATTACTCTTAGTAATAATAAGATAGGATCACAGATACGGGCAGATAATTGCACTTACATTTATTTGTCAAGCTTCCATACAATGATTTACAATTGGCATGGATATATGAGTCACTCACGTTCACGCTGTAATAAAATTAATCTTCTAAAAGAGGGAATTTTCAACTTGGCGACACATGTGATTACTCTACTATGGGTATGACTTAACAGAGCCTTAATTCTTCAAGTGATACATTTACTGCCAGCCTGGATTGCTCTTGTTGCAACCCGGCTTCCGCACAAGAACTTTTTTCACGGGGAATAACAACAAAAAGGTACTCTTGGGTTACCACACATAGTCTCGTGTCACTGACAGTCATTGTAGACGGTTGTCTCGGCAAGGAGAACTGGTAAGCGTGACTTGAATTAACCTCTTAGGTGCAATAGACCAGCCTGGATTGCTTTTGTCGCAATCAGGCTTCCACACGTGATATTTCCACGGAGATAACAAACCTAGGTTAACACACTTAATCTCGTGTCAACGACGGTCCAGAGGACAGGGTGGCGGTGGAGGACTCTGTGTGGTGTCCTGGTCCCTTCAGGAGGGAGAGGATGGGGACGACGTCTTAACTAACCCCTTGGTCTAGGGGATACTGCTTAAAATGAGGTTTTTGGAGCGTGAGGCGATGAACAGTACAACACTGTCTCACTGGCTTCCCCCTATAGGCTGGCTAACATTCCACTAATGGAAAATATATGTGACAGTCATGGCTCGCCGGGTGCTTTATCTCGTGTAAAACAAACTTGGGAGTTGGTTGCATGGGTAAGCCTAACGCAACCCATGACATTGCTGATGGGATATAATCAATCCCATTACTTTCGTTGTGGGTTATATTGTTTGGTAAAACTTTTCCCTGGTAGTATTTTGTTCGCGAGTCTAAATTAAAATGTCCAGACGTAACATTGCAGACAAGTTCTCGCGCCACCTCCCACACAAGTGCCTGACGTACAGTACAATGGCTGCACTCCACACTCCTTTATGTGTAGATTCAGACCCTTGAGATAGGCGACGCCCGCTCTATTGTGGGTGTCTCGCTAGCTACTGTAGATCACCTCGCTCAGTTTTGGTGGTGCATGACCACGCTCTTAACAAAACACGTCAACTCACATTTACATACCTTGAAAGGAATTGCTGTTTATTTTCCTTGGTTAACTTTGTTCGATGTTTGGATGAAAACTTCCCCTGGGCTTTTTAACGTTGAATTTGAAAAGGCAGTTACTTGTTGCAACGCGATAGTTAGGTTGTGATGCTATTGTCCTGCCAATCAAGGTACACCTTTCTGCCAGTATGCTCAACTCAGCTAACTACACCCTATCCGCAGCAAGTTTGAACCATTTATTTACTTGTTATAGCAACAGCTTGAAAAATATCCACTTCCACAATATAAGATTCATTGAATGCATGAATGAAAATAATTAGAGTGACCGGATAAAACCCCAACGGACAAAACCCCAGTCTCATATATAAAATATAAAATAAAACACTTTTATGTTTAGGTTAGGTTAGGTTAGGTTAGTGTAGACAAATGACAACCCCGTTGGGGTTCTGTCATGGAACCGGAATTAGTGTTATATTACCTCTTGAAAATGGCACTGGACATTTTTTTTCTTTAAACGGCAGCAGTAAACTCTAGTTTTTCGATTTATGAAAAATTCTTGTGGTTTACGTGACGATAAAAGTGTTCTGCTTGCATGACGTCATCGTATGGTGTTGTTTAAATCCTACTGTCAACTGATTGACTAGGGAGAACACATTAAAGGATGTTCATTAATTAATTTTGTCAATTTTTCCTATTGTTTTACTCCTCTCCACGCATGTTTACGTTGGTGTTGTTTTTCACCCTCTTCCGAAAAAAATGGAATTAGAAGTTATTAATTTTATTTACAATAGAGCCTATAAAAGAAAACATGCACTCAAGGTGTGACAAATTTGGCCATCAGCATAGTGTAGAGAAGTTTTGGTACTGTCACAGACTACACCAGTGTTATAATAGGACTTTCAGAAAGAATGCATGACAAATGCTCAGGATATATTTAATTACGAATCCAGTTAATAAAGCTGACTCGTCTGTACACCAATACACACTAGGCACTTGTAAATATTATTTAAGTAAGAAGTCTGACTGAGTTAGGCTCAAAATTAACATACTGCTAATCTTCGGGTTTGATTTATTTTAATCACAGTTTATTTCATAACTGTCTTTTCGTTAAGGCCCAGTTTAATTAATCTCTCCAGTATTGTTTGTTCCCCAACTGCCTGCGTAGCAGCGTATGGAATGAGACAAGGATTTACACCTATTCGTTAGTCTGTACCTCCATCTTTACTTCCGCCCTATCTGATTTTGATAAAACACTGACAAAATATCTCGTAAAAACTTGAAGATGATATCAATGAATTAACCGAGTATTCACAATACTGCTCTTCTAAAATCAGTATTTGGTTAATATTATCAAAGACCATCTTTAGATGGTCTTGATGGTCTTTGATATTACCCCTGTAATGGTTTTCTAAGTTATTTTTATACACGTTGGCTTTTTTTTTTACGGGGATTATTAACCCACCCACGCACAGGTCACTGACACACATCAGGCCTGGGGGCGAAAATATAATAGCAATACTAAAAATAATTAAGAAAAATAAATACAAAAAATAATGAAAATAGGTCAATTTATAGTGATACACCGGCCTTTTTCTCGCTGTTTTAAATGTGTATTTCGTAATGTTTAGACAATTCTAAGACATTTTTCTTCTATGATATTTACACCGAAAATTAAGGATAACCGAGATATTCATTTTTCAATATTATTAGATTTCCTCAAGTGTCGCCATGTCTTCTTTACTTTTTGCGGAGAAGGTCTGACCCCTCTAACGCAGTGCTCCTGCGTAGGTAGTAATAGTGGCAGCTACCAAACAGGGAGGTACTACCGCCTCGGAAGATATTGGAAGCATAATGCATTGTCTAATGGTAGACCCTGCTGCCATATGGCATCACGAAAATTGTGACCAAGTCCCAGGTTGCTCATCTGACTTTCTGCCTCATTTACACACTATTACAGGGTCTCTATTGTTTCTCTAATCATTGACAACACAACATACATATATTGTTTCTCACTCTTGATCTTTTTTTTCATTTATGTATTTCTTTATTATTATTATTATTATTATTAGTATTATTAGTATTTATATTTTTTATTTTTTACTATAAATTTTACTTATTATTATTATTATTATTATTATTATTATTATTATTATTATTATTATTATTATTATTATTATTATTATTATTATTATTATTATTATTATTATTATCGCCCTCCAGGCCCCGATGTGGGTCAGTGACCTGTCCCCGTGTGGGCTAATCCCCGTCAAAAAAAAGCTGGAATCTAACATGTGTATCACAAAGAATGCAAATTTAAAATTAAATCAATTATATGTTGCTTTGGTTCTATGAGTAAACTCGGTAGCATTCTGCGTGACAGGCGTGACCGATCGCCCGGGCGGCTAGCGAGCCGATCAGTGGCGAAGAGGATAAAAGTAAAAAGTAAAAAGCATTCTAAGTCACGAACTTATACTCGTGCTGTTGGCAGAATTACTAAAAACTTACGTAATTTGATCCGCAAGGAAATGACCTACTGTTTTTGCCCATCCGGGCACAGGTAATTTTTAATGACCCACATCAAGGCCCCGAGGGGCGAAAATATAATAAAATGATAATATTAATTATGATGATGATGATGATAATAATAGTAATATAATTCTTAAAAAAAATAAATGACAATTAAAAATAATAATAATAATAATAATTATATAAATAATAATAATAATAATAATAATAATAATAATAATAATAATAATAATAATAATAATAAAGAGCCATAAAAAAATATCGAGTGAGAAATGATACATGGCAGCAGGGTCTACCATTAGACAACACATTATGCTTCCAATATCTTCCCAGGCGGTAGTACTTCCGTTTGATAGCAGTCTACTACCTTCTACCTATAATGATAAATGATATTGTGGGGTTCAAGATGTTTGGTTCACACTCAGGATTGGATGGAGAAAGGAAACTCACGATGTGCTCTCTATATACATGTTGTATTGGATGTACAATGCAGCTTGGTGCTGGGAAGGCAGCATGGTTACAAGCGTGATGTAGAGAGAGCTGGTTGGTGAGGACGCTCAGAGAAGGACAGCTTGTGGGTCGCCATACTCGCCAGCGGGAGAGAGGACCGCCAGGCAGGCGGAGGAGCAAGGACCGCCAGGCAGGAGGAGGTGTTGCTGGCTGGTTGGTGTAGGTAGAAAGAGAGAGATCACCACGAGGTCAGGTCTTAAATAGCGGGGGTAGGCGTGGCTTAGCAGTTGACCCCCGCTCCGTGGTGTATGGCGGCGCTGGTTGACCTAGACCACGAGGCATACACTGGGGAATTGGTGGGGTCGGCTAGGCAGCGACAAACAGCGTTTGTAGGGGAGAATTCCACTACAATATAACGAAACTTTTCAACAAAGCACTTGACATTTCTCAAAATCCCATACCATTGTTCTCTGGTATAATTTATACAAGGTAAAAAATATGAATTCTGTGCCATGGCTTCATTTTATTTATTTTTTTTTCATTACAAATTCTTAACTGGTTCTCACAGGACAGCAGTACGGCAGTGCGGACTGCGGACCTTTGCCATGACTTCATACCGTAGTGGTGCGCGCCATCTATTGTCAACCCTAACAACTACTTGTTTGTTTACAAAATCTAGGAAGGGATCTGTAGACAGCGCTTGGTATATCTTTAATCATCGGCTTCGTCATGGCTCCTGAGAAGGTTTGAATTAAATACCCATACTTTGCAGTCATTAAACTTTATATTTAATCATATATTATAATAAATCATGTATGAAATGTAACGCAGCAGTGGTCGAAGCGAATCCATGTCCGACTTGTAATGGATGTGTTTGGGCGGGAAAAGCTCAACTTATGAATGACTCCTGCGACGTTAGGTATAATTGACAGATTTACAGTTTCCGTCAGTAAAATAGCGTCAGGACAATGGTATGTACTCAACGATAGAAACTTTACATTGTACATGTAATTCTGTGTTGTGTGTGTGTGGAGACCAACTCGACGTGTGTAAACTTGCCATTGCTCACTTGAGGTTGACGGGAGGAAACATGACCTTGGCCGCTATGCATGCTGAGCACCTCCCCCAATTTCCACATAGGAGGTAAGCCCACATTGATTCTAGAGGCGACAAGTAAATTTTAGAGAGGAAACTTGAAAGTCATCTTGGATGTCAGGAAACGAGTTGGTTTTGCTAATTGTTACTATGTAGATACAGTATTTCCGAAATGGCTTGTTTCAACACGGTACTAAATATTTTAAACATGGCATTTAGTCTAGAAACCTTTCCCAGTGTTACAGTAAGTATTCCCAACATTACAAGAATATTAAATGGTTTATGAGAGTGTGTGGTGAATAATCATCATAACCCTGTTGGGGAATTCTGTCATCCATTTTTAATGACATGTTATGGCAAGAGCTTTGTTGTGTATCAATAGTCCAAACGGAATCATGGTGGCAGCCAATCAAACCTGTAAAGGAATCATTCTGGAAAACTGAATGAACTGCTATCTAGTAGTTAGTGGATAATTAATTAGACATAAGTTGTTACTGATATTTAAAACTCAAATTAATAATCTTTGTGATCATCCACTCTGATAACCATTTTTTTTTAAACTAGTATTCATTGTTATTAATCTTAAGGTGAAATTTTGGTAAATTTATGGTATCACAATGGTCTTTATTTTGGCATTATTGCATTTACACACCACACATTCCTACCACTAATCTATTATCATATCCGAATAAGACGTCTAATTTTAAGATAATTTTCATCTATTACATTGCCGTCGCAAATGTATAATAACGGAGATAGCGTATCCAAAATTTTCTCAATTTTCTTCCATTAATCTAATGCCATTATCGCCTACCTCACCTCCCACACTGCGTGTCTCCTTCATAAATCATCACACGCATGCGTTCCCGTACACGTCACACGGCCAATGAAAAGCGGTTATTTTTTTGCAACCAATTAGAATTATTTTTGGTTTAATTCGCTGTATTTTTGGCCCAATCAAACTCGATTTTTATTTTGGGTCTCATATTTCTAAATTCACATTCATTTCCGACCATGGAATTCAGTGATGGGCGTCACTTAAATTATATGGAGCTGATTGCGAGTTTTTTGGGAAAAAAACGAAGCTACAGCATTTTTTCGATCGCATGGTGTTCTTCCAACCTCAGTAAAGTGTCATAAGTGCAAGACTGAATGTAAATATCACAAAGACCAACACATGTGGCGTTGTGCAAGAATCTCAGAATCCAACGACGGACAAGAACCAGGCCAATAAGGTAAGAAATAGGTGATTCCATCATATGGTGAGAGTCAGGTTAGGTTTGGTTTGTTTTTTGTTTTTCTCGTGTTTTTATTGGTGTATTTTGTATTTGCTTTGCCATTATTTTTTTTCGGAAAATGTCCCACGAAAAAAATCGCCAATAAAAAAAAACGGCCAATTTCCGACGGAAATGGAGGTCATATTCGGTCTAAACACACACAAATACACTAGAAAAATATAGTTTTTACTTTCTAACAGAGTGTGGTGTGCTTATGCAAATTTACCTTTATTTTGATATTAAAAATAGGTTTTTCCTATGTACAGTTATTTTGAGGAGTTTCGAACGAATTTTATATTAATTTCCACCGGAATTCACGTTTTTTTTTATTTATTTATTCTCTTTTTAATAGATAACACCATCCCCCTCCCCCCCAACCAACATTCATAGTGGAAAAAGTTGGATTTTTTTTTTTTAGAATAAATAACATTATATTTCCAACCAACCAAGAAAACCTAACCTTACCTGTTTTTCATGCCCCCGACATTTAAAGAGCGAAGACGGAGGCCTGGAGCGATGCGTGAGCAGGGGGTCATACCACCTCCGTCATAAATAAACACATCATGGCGACACTTGTGACTGAGCGAAAGTAAAAATCTTGAAAAATTAATATCTCAGTTATCCTTAATTTCCGGTGGAAATATCATAGAAGAAAAATGTCTTAGAATTGTGGAAACATTACGAGATACATATTTGTATTACAGAAATAAAGACCGGTGTGATCCTATAAATTTACCCAATTTTGTTCTGAAGGAAATAATGTTAGTTAGCAAGTCACAGGTCATGAGAGTTTAAGATTACTTTTAGCTGTGAGTCAGGTGTATGTGCCAGGAATTTCGAGCAGCCACTTGTTAAGAGCAAGGTAGGAAAAGATTTTAATAGTTAAACAGTAGTACATTAATAGCGGTGAAATACCGGATATAGACAGTATGTTCAATTTAATTTGTAATCTTTAATAAAAGATGAATAACAGTAGAAAATGGGCACCCTTTTTATTTTAGGTAATTTTTCAGGGTTACCATAGATACATTTGTTTTAATGTACTGAAGAGAATGCAGATCTAGAGGGGGAGTAAGACAAGTACAAATTCATAGAAACATTTACATAATGGATGTTTTGCCGTGACCAGCTAAGTTCCTACTAATGCTATTTTACCGTGAGTGCGCTCTGATTGGGTAAGTACTTACTGTGTGATATGATGGGGGGGTTGCCCCCCGGCTAGGAAGTTAGGTAGGTTATTTTGGTTGGTTACGTCAGGTTCTAGTAAATGTCGCCTCTTTTATAATGATAAGTTTCCATGCACAACAGAAATATTGCATTCGCTGATAATGGACGATTAGCCAATCAGAGCTCACTCATGGTTAAATAGCGTTAGTAGGAACTTAGTCAGTCATGGCAAAATTTCCACTGGCATACATTTAAGCTCCTCAAGAACATAAGCATTTCACTTCTTTAAGGTCTTATTGGAGACAGTGGGACTCAATCTTATGTCTTAAGATGTCATTGCAGAAAGATACAAATTGACCATAAACAACCTAAGGTAGTATAGATTAATCTTGTATTTAATGATCATAAAATCATTTGTCTGCCAGGTTTGTATGAGGATGGATTTGTCAGTTCCTTTCGTAGAAATTATTCTTTTTTAGTTGATAATAATTGAAAATAACTGGTTTTGTAGATTAGGTTAAGTAGCTTAGGTAGATAAATTTGGTAAAGTGTTTTAATTATAAATAGTTTAATGTAGCAGTACAGTACTGTATAGCACAGTTTGTCATTGATGTCACACAGTTGTGGGTGGAGGTTCTGGGCGACCATGTAGTTGTGTGGAGGACAAACCTACTTTTTTTTTTTTTTTTTCCACGGGAGTTAGCCCAACTGAGGCAGGTCACTGACCCACATCGGGGCTGGGGGGAATGTAATATTATAATAATAATAATAAAATTTATAATAAAAAAAATGAAAAAGATAATTACCCTCGATAATAAATTCAAATAACCACTGCTACAATTATCTTATTAAAAGACATCACTGGAGACCTATTACTCATCCAGGCATCTATTGAGCAGGATCTTAAGGGGCTTAGTGAGCTCGTTGCACAACTCTTAGTTTTCTGAAATACACCATGTCAGGGCCAGGGCTCTTATGAATATTTAACGTAAAAAATTTATATCTTATATCCTCTAATGAGAACACTGTGTGGGTCAGCGCTGTGTCAATCTGTCTTTCTTGAAACGCAGGAAGATTGTTCGCATCCTCTCGTGAACACCAAGGAAAATAATTTTTTATGCTTCCTCCTTGTCCTGATCTGAGTGCGGAACTACCATCTTCAGGCTTCTGATCCAGCATGCCAACACGCTTTTTTAATTTCGATTTTGTGTAGTGGTAGAAAGCCTTTGGGTTTGACTTGACCACACTTGCAATCCACCTCGAACCCTTTTTCAGCCTTCTGCACTCTGACTGCTTGGTTCCAGAATCTGGCATACATCCTCCTGTCCTGCTCGTCATTATTCGTAACCCACCTTTTGAATTTCTGGGATTTTTTCTTAGCTTTGTCAACTGCCATAAGGTTCATGTGTAACAGTCTCCTTGTATTCCTGGAGCCAATGGGTTTAGTCTTGGGTATATATTCATCAATCAAATAGCTCACTTTACTGGCTATTATATTCAGCATAGTGTATGCATTCTTGTATCTCAGTGAGTCAGGTCAGTGAGTACCCCTCATCCCGTCTTAATCTCCCTTGTAATATTTGAACCTCGGCCTGCTTTTATCATAAACCAAGTAACAGTTAAATCTGAAAGACAACATTATGTTGTTCCAACTTGGCCACCATACCCTCCTCATTAGTTATGGTAAGGTCCAGCGTTTGCTCCCCTCAATAGTCAGTTGGATCCTTAACATGTTAATTAGAAAATTGTCTCAGAGTATCCACAAAAAGAGTAGCTAGTAGGATTATTAAGGTCATTTGGTGTGGTTTCATTTTTCAAGTCGATGTTGCCGTAGTTAAAGTCCCCCATGACAAGGAAGTGGCTGGAGTTGAGTGCTGTTGCTTTGTCAATTAAGGCTCTTCAGTTCCTTTAGTTTAATAAGCTACAATTTGGGGATCTGTAGATACATCCAACAATGAGTAGATCTCTCCCCTTTAGTTTAATTTTACACCACTTCCAGTGCTGGATTTAGACCTGTGGAGGCCCCCTCATTATAACTACCCAAGAGGGTGGGGTGGCGAGTGAAGCAACCCTAAACATCTGGGAGTTCTGGGGGGCGCTGTAAGCCCCCCTGGAAAATTTTGAAATTTGAACACTTCTTTGGAGAATTTTGAAGCCATATGCAGTTATATGGAGGAAATTAGAACATTGAGAAATTTTTAATTA